AAGAAAAAGATGGCTACGGTGTTAGATTAATTATTAAAAAAAATTGCAACGTATGGCCATATCCTTTCCATATGGCCACGCTGAGAAAAACGCTTTGATTGTGTCAGCAAGACGCGTATGATGGAATGTATCTTGGTTAAACCAAACAGAATTTCTAGTTATCGCGATAGGGCTCGATATTTCATAGCCAGAAGTTTGATAGACTTCACCACACATCTAGCAAATCCTAAAGAAATTCCGATTCGTCCATTTTCTAACAGACGACTGGCTGAATCCATCAGATTTCTAATTAGTGCAACCAGATTTTTTTTGCCAGTGGCACAATACCCTGGATTTACTCTGATAACTTATTGGGTTATTTGTTTTCACTATATCGATTTCCGTATCGATCCACCGAGCCTTGACCGATTCGTTTTCGCGCGAGATATCTTTTCAGAGAACAAAATCTCGTCTGTTTTCTCTCTCTCTCTTTCAGATTCGTAAAAAAAATAATCCGAAAACGCCAAAGACGCTCTACTTGCCGCGATACAACTGTGGCGAGCGCTTATACGTCTCTGGGTGCAGCGAATCAGACAATTGCCAGGAATCACACTCGGTTGCCTCCTTGATTACTCACGAAGCCAATCGCTCGTATCTCTAGTCCGCGAGAGCCGTGAAAACTGCTGGAGGAACGGATGGCGAGAGGAGAGAGAAGCAGCTCGCTCCTCCTCGGAAGAGAAGACGGCCGTTGCCTTGGCCCAAGGATTGAAGAATCCATACACATACAGACGCGCACGCGTACACATACGGTACCCGCGCGCGCGCGCGCGAGAGAAGACGTTTCAAGGCGCGCTACACACGCTCGGGTCTTCGCTCATAAAAAATTACAACGGGAGGAAACGATAAATCGAGACTGTCTCCCCGCGCCACGAGGAGCTTATTTCTCTTGTCTCTTCCCAGGCGATGATACGTAACGTCGACAGTCTTCTCGGGATTGAGAAGGGGAGGCGGGGGTGGAGAAACCGCGCCCCAAACACCCCTGGGACGGCCAGAAGAAGTGGCTTTCTGAATTACACGGGAGATCGATGTAATACGAAACGTTTATGTCTTCGGCGCGCCCGGTCCGGAGGGCAGAGAGCCGCGGTCTTCATTTATCATCGGACATCGAAATCCGCCGAGGGCAGACAGCGGCTAACGGCGGGAAAGCAATCGTACCTTCGACGGGGCTAGTTATCGACGTTGAAACCCAAACCGATCGTTTTGCAACTTTTTACGCAACGCCGGGCAAAGCCATTAGCCGTTCTCCGCGTAATCGTATCGAGTACAACAAAATGCACCGGCAAAAAGCGGATTGCACGGGGAGAGCGCCGGTGTGTGCGCGTGCATGTACGCGGGCACCGCGAAAAATCGTTGGAAATCAACGTAACACCCCGAATCGATTTTACACCTGCAGTTTCGGGGCGCGACTTAATCCGGAATCCTCGTTGCGGCATCGTCGTGCTTTTAACACCGCCCCGGCTACACGAGCGATGCATATCGCATTTTCCTTGCCCGGCCCCCTCTTAAGGGTCTATTAATATTTTCGGAGCGCCGCAGGCGGCAACTCTCATCGACACTTCTCCATTCATTCCACTCGGTCTTCCGTTAACTTTGCATAGCCGTACGTCCCAGACCACCCGGGCCGCATCTCGCTGCAATATTAAGCGACTGCGGACAATGTCGGTCGTCCGCCGGCGAGGCCATGAGGGTCGTTTGTTCGGGAGTGAAGAGGGCGAATCTTGCCTCGCGCGAGCAACCATCGCCCGAGAGCCTCGAGGAACACTTCCAGGATACTCGCGACGGCGCGAGAAGAAAGGGGAGAAAAAAAAGACTTCCCCCCCGGCGCGCTCCGGATTAAAGATCGATGTATCTTCGTTGCCGTTTCGCTCGTAACTTGGACCGCCACGCATTTTCTCCTGCGAGAGAAGAGCATCCTGCTTCTGCAATCTCTGACCCGACGGCGGCAAGAAGCGCGGAACCGCACCTGGTCTCGCGGAAACCACCGCGGCGGTGCCGACGTCGAAATCGAAGGAGCGGAAAGTGCGCTAAGGTCGGAAAAACCGACTGACCTCGGCGGCGTACGGGATGCCGAAGAAAAGCGGTTTCCCCAAGGGTTTATCCGCCTCGCTCCTCTCCTCTCCCCTTCTCCCTCTCTCTCTCTCTCTCTCTGCTTCTCTCTCGCTTTAAGACCCGAGCTTCGAGAGGAAGGATGACGCGCGGAAGGAATGCACGACCGAGAGCGATGCTCCCTTCTCGAGATGTAAACTGTTTGCGCTGTTTCCGGCACAACCGGAGGTCCGGGAAATGGCCAGACGGGCGAGTGGTTCCGGCTGACCACCGCAGCAAGAGAGACCTTCCCTCTCCCCCGTGCTCGCTTATCCTCCGTGTTCCTTCCGCGCGTTCCGCCTGTCTGAGCGACTATTTACACTTTCGGCCCTTCCTGTCGATGACGACTGTTGGTGACCCGAGGCGAGTTCCATCGCGAAGGGCAGGGATTGCCGTTCCCCGTCGAGATTTAAAAGAGTAACCCCAAAAAGAGGTAAAAAAGATACGCTTATACCTCTTGACTTCCAACAGATATGACGTTACAGAACCTTTCGTAAACCGAGTCCACTCCTTGATCTTGCTACACATACCCCTTTAGGGGGTATAGCCTTCCAGATGGGAAGCTCCTTTCGGCAAGGTTAGCAGCCTACCGAGGATGAACCAAATGCTCAAACTACCAGAACGAACGGGATAAAACAGGCTTTAGGTCTAATACACGAGGAAGAAGGAGAGGAAGAGGAAGGAACGAAACGAAATTTTGCGATAAAAACGCGATAGATAATTTCGCGAGGAAAAATCCCGCTGCTCGCCGGAGACAAACCGCCGTGGCCGGGGGCGCGATTTAAGGGCGCCAGGTCGAATGAACGCGGACCGTCGATTATGCGAGGCGCACGGGTGGCGGAGCGGCCGCGGCGTTAGTCATAATTTGCCTGATTGGCGCGGAATTAGCGTCCAGCCGTATCACGCCGTAATCGCGTTCGCGTGGATTTATCGCGCGGCGACGTATTTACGACGCTTTTAGCGTGGTCCCGGCCTTTGTTTCCGCGCGCATCCCGGAGACCATGCATTTTTATTATTGCGCAATTTCCCCGCGTCCGCGCGGGATTCCGCGGCCACCCGGGGAGACAAAGGGAGCCGGGAGGATCGTTCAATTTCGGGCCGGTGTTGTCCGGCGACGGTAAAAAAAAGGGGGGGGGGAAGGGGAGAGAGCGAAGGAGCAGAAAAAAAGGAAAAGTGCCGTCTCGCTTTCTCCCCCTCTCGTCGAATAAAATGGAGTCCTGCAATTTGTCACCCCGGTGCGCGGTGATGTTTTTTTGAGAGGACGGACCAACCCTTCGGTTGTCTCCTCCACGAGACCCTCGCCGACTAATCCCCGGACGATTAATCTACCGGAGGTCCTGCAAATAGCGTCTCCTCGCTCCTAACCTGCCGGTTATTTCGCCGGCGCGCGGGCTTTCGGGCGAGATGATCGCGATAGGCGGGGGATCGATCGGACCTCCCGATCGCGCGCAGCCTCTCGCTCGATTACGCCGAGTTTCACGCATGCATTTTCCGCCGGGCGTATAACCGGCCATACCCCCCTGGTATCATTTTTCATTGTGTTCCCGTGTCGTAAACAACAACGTTATTAATACGTTAGCGGCGTTACGTAAATATTGGATCAAGTTACTCGACAAGCAAATATTTCCACCGCCCTCAACACCCGGTGTTTATACCCGGCGCCCCCGATCGGATTGATTTATTTTATATCGCGGCCAGTCCATCGCGGCGCCGGGAGTGACCGATGAACTGTTAAGCCTGACGGCGCGATGACCGGGCATTAAGCTGTCAACGGGGGTCTGACGCCGCGGCTGAAAAGGAACGCGCGCGATATCCACGACCATCGATCGGTCGAAACTGAGTGAGGCGCGGCTGCGCCTCTTAAGCCTCGTGTCCACGATCCGAGAACTGTGTCCAGATTCCAGTTTCGAGAAATGTGTAGTCAATTAACTTGCAGCTTCTCCGTAAAAGGTTCCATTCTCGTCGACAAAAACAGTAAAGCCTTGTGTCGATTCAAGAACTGTGTCCAAGTTCTAGTATCCGAGGAATGCGTAGCCAATCAACTTGCAGCTTTTACGGAATAGCTGCAAGTTGATTAGCTACACATTTCTCGGAACCAGAGCTTGAACCAACAGACCTCTGAGCCTTGTGTCCACGATCCAAGAACCGTGTCCAGGTTCCAGTTCCGAGAAATGTGTAGCCAATCAACATGCAGCTTTCCCGTAAAAGAATAAAGGCCTGCTTGCTGAACTTGATCCACGTTCTAGCACCGTGGACACACACCCGCAGAAAGGATTTCTGTTACCGAGAGAAAAAATATTCTCGACGCATTTATATTTCTCACAACCTCGTTTAGTATAAAAATAATATCAAAGACAAAATGAATAAATCTTATTCTCCTCTATCGAATTAAAAAAGATTGACTTAGTATATTGAGACAAGAGTAACTTATATAAATGTAAGTTTATGTATTCTTGCGTTTAGAATAAATTTTCCTCTCCGTCTTACAACGCACGAAGTTGGCACCACGATATTCGACAAAAGACGATTCTAGATTTTCAAATTTTTCATTTAAGATAAAAATATTCCTTTCTCTATAATCAGTATGATTGGCGCCATATCGATCCTATTTTATGATACATTCAAGTGTAACAGCATTGGATCCGGAAATTGTTTCTGTGGGTGCAGGCCTTTATTCCAATATCTAGATACTTGGCAAAGTGTTCGCAAACGTAAGTCACCTCCGCGCGCCGCGCGTCTCCTCCCTCTAATTGCCGGGCGGACGCTTAAATCGTGAGAACCGTTCCGTTAAAACTGAATCCCGCGGAATTCAGACGACAGTCGCGCCGGGATTAATTGCTAATTGCGCAATCCCCGAGGGGGATTCCTCTACTTACCCTTGCTGTAAGGCGCGAGCAGCAGCAGATTCACCAGCGCCGCCCCGGTGTCGTGGCCCATCAGCGTTATCCGCGTCGGATCGCCGCCGAAGGCGCCGATATTCTCGCGCACCCAGCGCAGCCCCATCGTGATGTCCTTCAAGGCCAGATTCCCGCCGGATCCGCTCGTGCGGTCGGCGAACGGACGGGTCCTCAGGAATCCTGGAAGAACGCCAGACCGTTCTCGCGATTCAACCGCTTGCGCACCGATCGCGCGATATTCCGACCCCTCCTTCATTGCACTTCCTTTCTTTTCCTTTCCCCTCAGTTCTCACGCAACTTCCCGAGTCGTATATTTTCGCCACAGTTCGGCCTCGTATAATTTTTGAATTGGGAGCAATGAGGTCGGACTAAGGTCTTTGTGTCGGACAAAATATACTGAACTTTTGACCTTAGATAGGCCTGAGAAGGGTCGCTCTTTCTCTTTTAGCAGTAACGAGGCCAATGCGAGTGGAATCAACAGAGGTTCAGTGGATCCTCTTCGGCCTAACAGGTTTCAAGAGGGTGAAATATTTTGCTACATTCTCTTAGAGGGTTGGAATGAGGTTAAACACAATTTTGTTTACTCATCTGGGCCTCAAAACGACGGTCGGAGTCCAGGAGAATTTTTACTTTGGCCACATTTTCATCCAAACCTCTCGTTGAAGGGCGTCTTGGAGTTTCAAATCGACTCCCAGATCCAAATGGAGACAGAATTGAAAAATTGAGGCTCATTCCGGGATCGAATACTCGACTCGGGTAAGGTCTTTGTGTCGGAGGAAATATATTAAATTTTTGACCTCTGATAGGCCTGAGAAGAGTCGCTGTTTCCTTTTTAGCAGTAAAGAGGCCAAATGCGAGTGTAATCAACAGAGGTTCAGTGGATCCTCTTCGGCTTAAGAAGTTTCCAAGAGGGTGAAATACTTTATTACATTCTCTTTGAGAGTTAGAAGGAAGTTAACACAATTTTTTCACTCATTTGGGCTTTAAATTGGAGTTTCAAACCGACCCCCAAATGGAGACGGAATAAAAAAAATTGAGGCCCATTCCGGGACCAAATACTCGACTCGGGATTCGTTCGATAAGATCTCGCGAGTTTCGTCGCGAGAGTGCGTTCTCGCTTTAAGAGACGTGCACCTCCGACGATTACGAGCGGAGAATTTCATGATGGAAGAGCTCGCGCTGGAAATAAAGAGCGACACGCGCGAAGATTCGATTTAACGTTTCCCGGCTGCAGCGATAATTAAACGGAGCGTGCAAATATTCGTTACGCTATTAAGTCATAAACCAAGGTAGTTTGACAAGTAAATAGATAGAACTGACATTTTCAGACTTTCGTACATTTGCAGCGCGCCATGACAGAGATACATTTGTGAGTCTTCGAAGTGCCAATATTGACTTAAGAATGTAAATGGTCTCTACGAAGCTATCTCTCCATTTCGGAGAGTATAGCTGGGTAGTTAATGATACGAACTTACTTTACGGGCAAGTGCGAGTCGTAATAAACGCAGCGAGACAACTTTTCCGTTCTCCAGGCGCGCAGCGCAACTTTTTTCCAATATTAATGATAAGATAATTAATCAAAAATTCACCGTCCATCTCTCCCTCTAAATATTATTCGGTGCACAAGGTATATTTTCTTGCAGATTCCGCACACTCGGTAGCAAAGGGAATTCTAAATCGATAAATGAAGACATCGCGAACTACACATTAATGCACGTACGTCATTTGAAAAGTTCTCGGAATGAATTACAGTTCGCGCATAAACGTATTACGTTCAACAGAAAATCCCCATCCTTCCGTGAACACATTTCCCAGCAAGTGGGCTCATTTTTTACAGCCCTTTGAAGGAACTTATCCGATTTTTGGCAAATGAATAAACTCAAAGTGCCGCGGCGATCGAGTATCCACGAATCAAGGCACGAATCGCCGTTCACGATCGAAGAAATTCCTGGCTGGGAAAAGCGTTTTGAGACTTTCAATTTCTCCTCTGCGCCATTCGACAAATCTAAGCAATGGAATAAATATCCCCTCTCGGGATAGACGGATACAAGGGAGATTACGTTGAAAAAGAAAAATATTCCGAAAGGGACGTTTTTCCAATTTCATTCCAAGAACTTTCCAACCGGCCCTCGTATTTCGGGCGGATGCCACGTGAAATTTCTTCGAGCCCGCGATCGTGGAACGTTGCGCCGGCAGGCTTAATGAAAATGCTTTCGGGGACGCGGGGGACGGTTAGATTAAAGGGTGGCACGTACCTAAGATGCCGAGACGATAGTTGAGCGTGATCACTATGACGTGGCCGGCGCTCGCCAGGACCGATCCATCGTACAAGTTACCCGATCCCCATTCGAAACTTTCGCCGTGTACGTAAACCATCACCGCGTACGGCGCCTCGAGTCCTCGAGATCCTGAAAGCAGGCAAAAGCGCGGCTTGTCCGCGTCGGGAACCTCCTCCATTTTCTCCCGCGAATAAACCTCTTATCCGTATAAACCTCCCATTGACAGATCCCAGCTTTCCCCGGTAATACCGCGCGACATTATCGCTTACGCAAGCATTATGCTTACCCGCTCTAGCCCCGCTTCCCCACCCGCCCCCTCGACCTCCCGAGCGAGCCGCGAGACGTAAAGCGACGGGATTGCGCCTAGTGTGAGCTTTAAGGACTGCCGTTCCTCCGCACGCGCCGCCCGGTGAACCCTGTCTCGCGCGCGAGATATTGTTTACACCCCCGATTAAATTTACCCCCCCCCCCCTCCGGAGTTTCGTGAATACGCCTCTACTTTTCGCCCTATGAGCGTAGAATGAAATCGTCCCTGCAGCCAATTAGTCGTTTTCGCCGTTTGCCACCTGCGCAATTAAGACGACTAATTGCGTCGCGTAATCCGCGCTAAGGATCTCTCTCCCTCCCCCCCTCTCTCACTCTCTCTCTCTCTCTTTCTGCGCGCTCGTCACGTCTTTATGGCCCCGCGAAATCGTGGGAAAGACGCATCCGCGGTATCGCGATTCGTCGCACGTAGAGAGCGATTCCGGCAGAAAAACCGCGCGGCGCGCGTCAAAGCTGTTCATTTACCGAGAGAGGCGAGAAGGAAGGGCGCGCGTGAAGAGGGATGCGCTTCCCTTTGAGCTGCTCCTCGCGCGCCCCGATCGATCGCCCGCTGCCGCGAATTTATTTATGCAGCGACGTCGCGACGGCGGCGACTTTTCGGGTTGCGGTTTACGCGTCCCGGTACGCGCGCGCGGTCGTAAACGCCACGCGGCCCACGGTTCGGAAAATCGCCCCGATAGAGCGGACACCCTTCCCTTTTAAACGCCCGCCGTGAAAGGCGGGCGTAAAGTTTTTTACGTCGAGAGCGTCGCGTAAAGCCGGAACCGGCGGTAAATTAAAGCGGAAAGCTCGTTTTAATAAGACCCCGAGGATTACGCGACGCTTTTTATAGATTCGCGTCTCGAATCCCGGGGTTTCCGCGTTTCTGAGGTACTCGGGGGGGTCTTAGCGAGCCCCCACCACCCTTCGCCGCGGGTTCTCCGTGTGCGCGACGTCTCCGGGTCTTCGAGATTAAAAGTCCCCCCCTCCCCCCGTTTAATTGATAATCGTCTTACGAACTAATAAACCGCGGAGCGCGCGTTTATCCGTCCGCCGTGTCGCGACTAATTAACGTCTGTCTGTTACACGATTTATGCTACATCGGATTACTCGTCCGGGGAGAGGCATCATACTAAACCACCGCGAGAGACGGGCCCGCGCGCGCTGCCAAGTTACGCGAGCTCTCGCAATCATCGTAGTTAGTAATTCAATCGCGCCGCGATCTTACTTTGATTATCCGTTAACTCGTAAAACTAGCCCAATCAGCATCGATCCGGGCCGGGCTCGACGCGACGCGCCGTCTCTGCCGATTACCGGACGCCGATCGATATCTCATCGGGCTCGCGATCGCATATCGAGCGGCGGATCAATCGCCTCGAGGCTCGAGCGTGTATCCTTCCGCGAATTCACGCTGGAGAAAGAGTGAAAAATGTCATTAACGTATTCAATACACCTTAAAAAAATAACCTTTTTTAAAAAAGGGTACAAATATAAGCGCCATCCAATCGAGAATTGTATAATTTAATTATTAAGATATATTTTATTAGAAAAAAACCGTTTTCATCTTCTCTACAAAAGTAGTGATATAATTAAATTGCGCCAACTAAAATGGATATTTATACAAACTAGATACTTAATTATTTTCAAATGTTGTATCCGAGGGGGAAACCGCTGACCAAAATCTTGTACACAAATGCCCACTAATGCCCAGTGGGCATTACTTTATCTTATTTATCTTGTTTTATCTTGTTTTATCTTATTTTATCTTTATAATGCCCCAGCAAGACCTAATGCCCAAAAAATGCCTAGTAATGCCTGGTAATGCCGCAAATCTGTACACAATGCCCTCAGCTGTTTCCCCCTCGATTATATCCAAACAATCGAGCATAAGATTTTACCGAAAGGAATAAAAGAGACAATAATATTAATGAGACCAATTTTTAATACTTATTCAACAAAAATATAATGCAAACAACTTTAATACAAATAAACATTTTGTTAAAAGACTAACGTATTCAATATTTTGTCAATGAAAGTACTCAATTTTCGCGAGTTCGCGTTTTTTTTTTTTTTTTTGAGGAAAAGATTCACGATCGAGTCTCGAGAGATCGTCGCGAAATCCGGGCCCGAAATCGCCCGAGAGAGCGTCGTTTTCCAGGAAAACTGGAGACCTCTACAAAGGAGATTCCTCCGTTTGATTGGTTCACAGTCGCCTCGCCCCGAGTTGAAGAGAAGCACGAGCGAAAATCGTCCTCCTTTCCGCAGCTTCTTGCTCTCCGCTTTATCGCGTAGCTCGCGCAATTTTCGATTCTTCTCCCGCTCCCCTCCTTTTTGGCCCGGCCTAGGTTTACGGGGGCGCAGACCGGCCGCTTTACGTTGCAAATTCACCTCTATCTTTCATCGCGCGCCGAGCTACGTGCGACGTGTAACGCATGCGGCTGCTCCCAGGTTGATACTACCCGGCATAAAGGTACTAATTACTTTAGGACTAATTACTTTAGGAAGCAACTTGCGCCGCGTAATACTATACGGACGCATAAATTGTCGGCTCCGATAGATAATATAGTTGAGAATTTCAGGAGCCGAATTACGGCCGCAGCCACCCCGAAACTTTACAACGGCACGGCTGTGTAACGCCGCTTACTTTCCGCCGCATAAAATTTTTTCTAGCCGTGCGAAATTAGTCCCGGTCGATTGCGTCTTCTGGACGTTGCCCGCCGATACGGGCATAATTTTAAGCGTGAAATCAATTTGAGTTTTTTGCTCGCAGCGCACGCGCGCGCTCTCGGCCGAGCGCGCTTTCATGAAACGTTATTAATCTTTTATCACGGAGCATTTTAAGGATTTATTCGAGGCGGCACGTGCACGCGCGTAGATTCCCCTCGGAGCGAAGATCGATCGAGAATTGATAATCGACCTGCAATCCTCGTAAACTATGATGCTTAAATAAATAATAATAAGATACTGGAAAAAAATACATCGTTTATTCAAGTAGCTAGAGTTGAACTTTCATTAACTCAATGTGGAGTGGCTTTACTTCTACCTTGCCGAAGAATAAAGACCTTCATTAAAACTTATTATCCCTTTTACTCTGTCAGAACTGAGCAACTTTACGTTACTCGCCGAGGTACTTTAGGCGACAATAGAAACGTAATTTTGCATAGCCCCTTTTAGGACGTTATTTTTCACGCGACCTTGCCCCGCTTTCGTAAAAAAAAGGAAGTCCACTCTTTCCAGATACCACGTCATAATTTAATCCCCGACGTACGGAGGTTCCACGAGATCGAGCGTGCAACAGAGGAACGCACGTCGAAAATGATCTCAGTAACGTATCTCCCGCGCCTTCGTCCGCGGATTCGCTCGACGCAATCGACGCGATCAAGTATTCAAATCAGTGCTCGGAGTTAGCTGCGCATTTTGGGCAGATTTTATAGGCGACGCCTACTGTTCCCCCGCTACGCTCAATATCGATCAAAGTTCGACGGCCGAGCCGCCAATCGCGCGTAAGACGCTGGGCCTCACGGCCCATCCAGCTTCGATCGATATTAACCGTAGTGGGGGAACAGTACTGCCGTCCTAACCTAAAAAGTAGTGAGGATCCTAAAGTCATCTGTTTTACCGACACATTCGAATATAGTTTTTGCGCTGGTAAATCCTTATTAGCTTTTATGCACAAAATAATGCCAGGATAACGCTTTATGATCCACCGCTTTATGATGAGTGAGCTAAGAGGATCCTAAATGACTTTAGGATCCTCTTAGCTCACTTTCTATGTTTCTTAGAGAAATATCCGTTGTCCTGCAAGGCTAGAAAGCAGTAGGAGCACTGGATTAACATAAAATAACTTATACACGTTGCAGTATGTCCACATTTTTTCGTGGTGGCCTAGCTATAATAACTTGAATGTGCGTTTTCTCGAAACTAGCAATTTGGGAGATACTGCTGTCTAAGTTAGTAGGCGTCGCCTACGAAATCTGCCCGAAGTGTGCAACTAACTCCGAGCTATTATTGAAATCGAAGAAATCGTGCCCTCTTACCGCTCCCGGGTATGTACAGATTGAGGAAGAGGCAGTCCTCGCTCTGGTTCGCCAGGAAGACGACCATCTTCTTGAGCTGCTGATACCTGCCCTGCGGCATCTGGAAGAGCGCGGCGGTGCTATTGGCGAGGTCCGGATAATTCTGCGGGCACACCGCGCCGAAAGTGTCCGCCAGCTTGACGCCGCCCCAGGGTATCGGCGAGATGGGGGGCCGAAACCTCAGGTCCCCGACCGGCGGCGCGGCGTACGGTATCCCGCGGAACACCTCCACGGGGTCCAAGTGCCGACTGTTCAAGTCCTGCAAAAGGGAACGCGTGCAAACGGGTTTACTATCCGCGGGGCGGTAAAGGCTCGCCTGTTTATTTTAAAACAGTCCTCGAGACCACACTGGCGTTTGTGCCCCGACAGTTTTATCGGGTTACAACGGTGTTTACATGCATCAGCTTTATCCCCGGGTTTTATCAGGGTCGCGGTTTTATCGATTCCACCCGGCATCTTGGGAAAGCTCTGAAATTGATAAACATGAACTCTCCTTTCCCTTGTTCTTCGACCGTCCGTTCGCGCAAGTACCTTCTAAAATACGCTCGGATGCTTCTCCGCGGAGATACATCGCTCTCCCTGCTCGGGACGCACGGAGCACCGGGAGGGAAAAACGGAAACCGACAGCCAGAGAGCGGGAGAGAAAGAAGGCTAGAAAAGCTCCTCCTTCTCTTCTTGCACCCAATATCCATTTCATCCCCTACGCGCCCTGGAAGCGTATCGGGCGTGAGCGGTTCGAAAGATACCCGGCTCGCGTGAGAAGAAAATACGGAGCCGTCCTCCCTTAAACGAGCCGGTGATTAAAAACGCTGCGCGAAAAGGGCGAGAGCCGTGATTCTCGCGTTTGATGAAAACGTCGCGACGAACAGAACTGACGGGCGTGGAAACGAGCAAGGAAAAGCTGGCTCGAGCTACAAAAGAGGAATTCTTTTGGCTGTCGCGCTCAACGCAAATCGAATTAGAAGATTGACTAATGGCGATTCGCTGCTTCGCGATGCGCGCATTTATTTTGAAAAGGTTCGCGGAAACGTATCGGTCCCGTAACGGAGTCCCGGCTTCTCGCGACGTAACGAGAAAAATTGCTGCTCGGTCGCATCGTGGAAACAATTATATCGAAAGGACTCGCCGGATCTCGTTTGCCGCGGCTCGACTTTAATTGCATCACCGAGCGCAATCGGGGAAAGGACTGGCCGTCGAAATGGCCGTTCTACGATTCGCGCTGGAAATTACAAGTTCCCTTAACGTATCGGCGTCGCGTTTACGTCGCAGGGTCGATGCGTCGAAAAAAGAATGCGACCGCAGAGAGCGCGCGGGGGAGAAACTGAAGGAAAAAGGGGGAAGCGTGTGAAGAGAGACGGAGGGAGGGGTGGGGCGAAAATGAGAGTTATTCGATTCGACATTTCCAATTGCATTAAAAATTAAATGTGCGTCATGCGACTGCCGATAACAATCGGCGCTTATCGAGGCTCCCATAAAATCCCGGGGGATGATGGCGATGACGTGGGATGAAATATTAATTTCGCTCCATGAGTTTGCGAATTTTGTTCCGGCTGACGATCTCGTAATTGACTCTCGTCCGCGGGAGTTAAAATATTGAAAAAGAAGAAGATATATCGACACGCCCTACGCCTAGGAAGATGAAATTTAAAAAAATAACCAATAAATTCGCACGAGCGGAAGAGAGAGGGAGGGTGGGAGATAGTTCCCGAAATTTCGTATGTACGAGCACGTTCGTCCCGGTTCATGGCGCAGCTTGTTATTTTACGATCACGGCATTCATTTTCGTATTCCCCGGGCGAGCTATCACGTAGTTGGAAATAAATTCCCATTACGGGGCGAACGCGGCGCGGGGGCTCGGCGCGAAATCGCAAGAAAATGGAAACACACGGGCGCGCGTGTGTTCGACGAAAGGGACTCCGTTCGTGAAAAGACTCGCGTGCGAGAACGGCGTTACAAGTACGAGCAGCTTTTCCCCTCGAACCTGCCGCTTTCACCGCCGTACGATCGTTCCTCATGAATCAGTTTTGTGTACGCGCGCACACACACGCGCGCGCGCGCGTGAAAGAGAGGGAAAGAATTTGCTAAAATCTCTCTCGCACCTCGGCACTTTTGGCCGCGTTGTTCTCCGCGAATGTGCACAATACATCTGATGACGCACGAATGCACTGCGGCTGCTTGTGCATTAAAGCGTGGACACGGGGTAAATAGGTCGAGGCGAGAAAATCCCGAGATATTAATCCCCCGATTTGCGAGCGCGAGGGGGTACATTTACTCCGCCAGCGAATCACCCGTTTAAACCCCCCCCCCCCATGGCGAGCGTCGAAATTCGCGCGGCCGAGCCTCGACGCGGACACCCGCCCGCGTGTCGCGATTGATGCAGTTTGGCGCGGCGTGTGTCGAATTCGATAAAATTTAAATATTAAATTGCAGTCCGATTTAAACGCGCGCGCGCGCGCGCGGGCCGTCCCGGAGCCTTTTGCGTTTCATACGATGCTCCGCCCGCGAGAATAATTATGCACGTTGAAACCTTTGAAACGTGCGTTACAGTTTGTTATCTCAATGGCATTAGCGCGTCCATTAATTGCGCTAATTTGGGATAATGAAATGTCACGCGACTGCATAAGAGCTATCCTAACATTTCAGAAAATGAGGCAATTACGTTTATGGCGAGACTTGGAGCGCGCGCGCTGCGCGTGCTTCGGCGAGCGAAAATAGCCGCAAAAATTCTATCTCGTTACGCCGCGCACTCGCATTCCCGTTCCGCCGACGATAAGGAATTAATTATCAAAATTTGCTCCGGCAATTAAGGGACTCGCCCCGTCGAGGATCGATGGCGCGGCGTCTCCGCCGCCTATTGTGGGATCTCCCCGCCCGCTCCGAACGGCCGCTCACTTCAGTTCGAGTAATAGTCGCGCAATAATCTTATCCGCGCGATGGGACGAGACTTATGGCCGGATTATTGCCTCTGCCTGCTCCTCTCGGGCGGCAGGAACGCGGGGCCGTTCGTGGGCGGACTGCGTAACGGCGGCCCGGTGAATTATTATAATCTCTCGGCGAATGGAACGAATTTTATTTCGAAATCAGTCGCCCGCAGACGTGATCGTAATTCTCATTATTTGCGGGACGCGGGGAAACTTTTCTTTTTCCGTACCGAACCGCGCGAAGTTGGGGATTTACTCGCCGGTCGGGGGGCGAACGGAAGTTCGCCGGAAGTAGTAGACTCTAGGGCACATCAGCATTTCGACGGTTCTTTTCTCGCCCTCCTCTCCCCCCGCGAAGCGAATGCTCGGTGCCGATCGAGAGAATTGGTCGTTGAAATTAAGGGGAGAAACGGGACGTGTACATTCTCGATTTCAACGAGACGACAACTGATGTCGCTATTATCCCTCGCGTTTCCCTCTAAAGCACCTTCCACCCCTCCAAGAGTAACAAGAACGATGAGACGGGAGTTCGTGGAGTATCTCCGGGACATGCTGAAGAGTTTGGAGGGCAAAGGTGAAATCGTCCGTTTTCTTTTTTCGCCCTCCGCTCAATGGGACGGAGGGAAGCGAGTGACGGGGTAAACGGGACGGGAAGCTATCCCGAAATCTCTCTTCTGGATACAAAGTGAAATTGATGGCCCGCATTTACCGGCGCACGTGTAGACGGAAACACGTGGGGGAGAGAGAGAGAGAGAGAAAGGGGGAGGGGATGTTGCCAGACAGTGATGCGCTGTCGATCCCATCTGCGTCGCGTTGCAAACGAAATGGCGTTAATAAAAAAAGAAATCTGTCAGGCGCACATATACATTCGATGTAATGCGCCGCGAGGTGAACCGATACCGTGCGGACGCGAGCGCAGGTCGGAGACGGCGCTTTGCTTGTCCGAAGACAGCATAATTTCGCGGGGCTTTGCCGATTTATCATCCCGTTCGTACGCACGTATACGTACGTTTTGCGCCGGCACGCCGCACGGCAATTTGCATACGTTCATTCGTTCCGCGACAATTGTTACCCTAAAGGGATTGTTTACATTTCTCGCGAGCGCGATATTCATTAGGTCGCCGCGCGGGGGATGATAACAAGCGAAATAAATTTGGTTACGTCGTAAATTAACGGGGGCGCGGCGGGGGGTGAGCGAAGGCCGGGGGTAGCATCGCGAGAGCGAAGCGAATTAATACCGCGTTTCCTGTATATTCGCGCGTGCACGTTTAATTGCGATAGCGGGATAGGAGTTTCGCATTAATTAGCGGCGGAAATTATGCCTCGAATTTTATATGACTCGGGATAATGTATCGCGGTGGAACGCGAAGAAAAGGGGAAAGGGGAGTCGGATGTATTTTCCGAATTGGGACCGTGACCGCTTCGGAGGCTTCAGCCGATAGACCTGTACGGATAGATACGCGCCCCGTGAGAGGTTTCGATGATGGCAGAGAAAGAGAAAGAGAGGAGGGGGAGGGAATAGAACAGAATCTTTATTTATTAGCTCTGGGACAAGTCTCCTAAAGCAGAGCTCGGAGTTAGTTGCACATTTCGGACAGATTTCGTAGGCGACGCCTACTGTCCCCCCACTACGATCAATATCGATCGAGACCCGACGGCCGAGCCGCCGATCGCGCATGAGGCCCAGCTGTGTCCCCCACTACGGTCAATATCGATCGAAGCTGGGCCTCACGCGAGATCGGCGGCTCGGCCGTCGGGCCTCGATCGATATTGATCGTAGTGG